TGAAATTATTTCATTCTTTTTAGAGCATTTGAAGTCGGTTGTATTTTTTTACAAAAATAAATTATATTGTGATAGTTTTACTGTCTTTCTTGATCACTGGATGAGATCTGGTGTATATGGATGATAAAGATCTGGTGTATAAAGATTTTCTCATAGCATCCCCTCTCAGAATAACGTGCGAACATGTGTCTAAATCACGAAAAATGAAGCTTAGGTTAATGCCGTGTCTCTTTGATATTTGTTGGTTTTATTGATGAAATCTTGAGTCGTAATCGAGACACAAAATTTGTCGGATTCTCCAAAGGTGCCAGCTTGGTTGTTGGTATAAAATACTCGCCAGGGAGGCGTTAAACCTCTCCAAAAACGATTTTCAGCAGATGAGGTGTTCAGATCCACACGGAAAGCATTTCTTATTCCAAGAAGCACTGTGGGTAAGGATTCGACCCACGTGGAGGCGGAGTGGCACATGATGGCTGCCTTGAGTTGTCTGTAGAAACGTTCCACCATGCCATTTGCGCACGGGTGGTAACTTGTTGTCCTTAATCTTGAAAATCCACACAAATTTCCCAACTCAGCAAAGAGTGCAGATTCAAATTGTTTACCCTGGTTTGTTGTTATTCGCAAGAGAACACCATACCTTGATATCCAACAATTGAAAAGAGCTCACGAGACTTCTTCGGCAGAGATACCTTGCAAGGGGTGTACTTCCGGCCATCTTGTGAACCGATCTACTACTGTAAGACAGTAACGAAGATTTCCAACTAGGGGTAATGGGCCGATTATATCCACATGAATATGTTCAAATCTACAATTTGGCCAAGGGAAATCGTTGATAGGTGTTTGAACATGACGAGTAATTTTTGAACGTTGACACTCTTGACAGGACAAGGTCCATTCTTTACAATCACGATTTATTGAAGGCCAAACATAATCTTAAAGTTAAATTCATGGATTTTATCTCAGGGTGACTTAAGTTATGGATTGAATTAAACGCTTCTCTGCGTAAACATTTGGGGATATACAATCGTTCTCTACCGTTCTTTGTACTGTATTGCAGTAGACGAAAACATCAGAGCCAGGAACTGGAACTGGTTGAAGACAAAGTGAAGTACTGTTTTCGAGAATAGACTAAGTTCCTCATCATTAGATTGAGAATCTGGCAAGAGGTGCAGATCAATTTTACTAGTCTTGTTGACAGAAATAGATTCTATCCTAGAAAAACTGTCTGCTATTATGTTTGAAGCACCAGAAACATGTTGAATGTCAGTTGTGAACTGTGATATAAATGAAAGATGATTAGTTTGAACAAGAGGTAGTTTGTCCTTCTTTTGTTGAAAAACGAAAGTGATGGGCTTGTGATCAGTATAGACAGTACAGGGGTTAGCTTCTAATATATGTCTTAAATGTTTAACAGACGAATAGTTGGCAAACAATTCCCTATAATAAGCAACAACTGGCTTGCTTAGGTGTTAGTTTTTGGGATAAGAAGGACAGAGGTTCCCATATTCCATCTTGATTCAATTTTTGTAGTAGTGATCCTACTGCAGTATTCGATGCGTCACAAAAAAGTGCTAATTTAGCATTAGCGTTGGTGTGACAAAATAATGTAGCTTCGGCTAAATGATCATTACATTTACTGAATTTTTCAGTTAATACATCAGTCCAAGGGACTATCTGATTCCCTTTTAATGACGAAAGGACAGTGTGGAGAGGGGGTTGAAATTCTGCAGCGTGAGAAATAAACCTGCGGTAAAAGTTCAACATCTCCAAAAATCGCCTAAGACCTTTGGCAGTTTGTGGCAAAGGACAATTCTGAAGGGCGTCAATGCGATCAGGCACAGGCCTGGTTCCATCAGCGGTGACTTGATATAAAAAAAAAACTACTGAGTCAGTGTTAAATACAGATTTCTTCACATTTATAAGGACGCCATATTTGACTAACCTCTTGAACAGAATACGGAGGTGTTCTTCGTGCCCGACAGGATCTTTTAAGAAAACCAGGATATCGTCAATGTGGGGGAAACAAAAACTGAGTCCCTCTACGACTTCATCAATAAACCTTTGAAAAGTTTGACCAGCATTCCTCAACCCGAAAGACATGAACGTGAACTCAAAGAGTCCGAATGGGGTCGTTATTGCGGTCTTGGGCACGTCTTCTTTATTAACCGGGATTTGCGTATATGCCTTTACAAGATCTATCACAGTGAAAACTTTACTACTGTGTACTTTACTAAACAATTTGAGAAATCATGGATATGTCGAACAGGGTAAGAATCTGGAATAATCCGGGCATTCAATGCTCGGTAATCGCCACATGGTCGCCACTCATCATTCTTTTTAGGTACTATATGAAGTGGTGATGACCAAGGGCTTTTGGAACGACAAGCAGTTCCATTTGCTACGATGGATTCAAACTCTAATTTGGCAATTTTATATTTATCCGGAGCTAACCTTCTTGGTCTTGATGAGACTGGTGCGCCAGGAGTCGTATTTATGTAATGTACTGTGTTATGAGGAATAAATCTTGGTACTCCTAAAGGTTTTGTGATTTCTGGAAATTCCAATAACAGTGGAAAGTTTGATGGGACGGAAGTAATTAATTTAGTACTAAATTGCTGAGTATTCATGAACTCACATTTACTTTTTAATTGTGTAATGTTGTCAATTAAGAAACCGTTACTACAATCAGGTAATAGTGAATTGTGTGCTAGGAAGTCAGAGCCAATGATTGGAGTGCTTACTTTAGCTATTATAAAATTCCAGACTAGAGTTCTTCGTAGACCAATATTTAAGTTGAGACATAAACTACCATAAGTGGGGATTTCAGAGTTATTTGCAGCTCTGAGTTCTATCCCAGATGGTTTTAAGGGTTTTTTGACTAAATTTTGTGGTATACAAGTTACGTATGAACCTGTGTCTATCAGAAACTTATAGCCTGAATTGTTATCAATTACTTGTATAACCTGTTGCTGTGGTTGCTGTCAACTCCGGGTGATTCATGAGTTTGGCGTCTAGGCAAATGACAACCAGTCGACACCTCATCTAAAGTCGGGACCACGTAAGTTTGCAGTTGGCGGCAGCCAATCACAAGACAAGGCTAGTGCGATGTTGCCACATCGCCCGTTGACAACACTAATTAAAATATACTAAGCAATATTTTCAGATCAGCTGGTATTATTAGATTTGTCAACACCGCACGGTTCTCATTGGTTCATTCAAAACCATATGGTAAATAGGCTCCTCCCTCAACTGCAAACTTACGTGGTCCTGACTGTAGTTGCCTAGTTTGTTTTTTCATTGCCTAGGCGAAGTCGTTCATCCATTGTGGTTTTCTGCGATCACGTTCAGGTCTTTTCCCCTCAATCAAAGAATTTTCTTCTTCCAAAACTTTCTGTTCATTTTCATCATTTGAGTTGTCTAGATAAGAATTTTTATTTTCTGAAACTTCCTGTTCACTTTCACTGTTAGAATGAACAAGATTTTCTTCGTTGTCAACAGATGTTATATCATTGTTTGATTCTTTAGTTTAGTTGTGCTACTGTTTATGACAGTATATTCAACTTGTTGACATCCATATTTCAGGTCATCATTCACATCAGAGGTATGACATTGATCTTCTATAAAAACAACATCACATGCTTTTATAATAGAATAAGGTTTCTTAGGATCAATTAGCCTTTGGAATGTTCCCAATATCCAACCATAATACAGTAAAACCTCCCTAATCCGTCACCTACGAGACCTGGAGCATGGCCGGAACAGCGAAAAGGTCGGATTATCAGAGGAATGTTTTTATTGACATAAAAACGTAGTAAAACTGAATTTTGAACAGACCACGTATAACTGATAACTACGGTTAATCCAACATGACATAAAATGGTTATTTCCAACTCATAAACGACGCCTAATACTAACTATATAAATAGACTTTAATGTGATTGCATTATATCACATCATAAAACTACAATTAGTAGGCTATTGCACAATCATGATAATTATGTTATGTCATTAACCTTGGTTCAGTAATAAAAACTGTTACGTTAAAAATCACAGCTTTTTCAAACTTTCACTCAAACAATCAAATTGCCAAACACATGACATAAAAACATCACTTTTTCTTTCTCTTTCTTTGTTTTTATTCTTTCTTGAGTTTCTCTTCGTCCACCCATTCAACAAGTTTCCATAGTTACTAATCACCTAATCACAGGCTACTAAAGTGGTCATGATTACCAAATTCCCAGTCACAAAATGTTGTGACATAGCAGGCGCACAGCAGACAGATGTGTTGTGTGTAGGCCTAAGGAGCAGACTATTGTCAGTGCAAACAGATAGCTTGACCTTGAAGCTTAGATCTACATTTCTTTGTTTTGATTCCATTTTATTTTTGTCAAATGAACTGTGATTTTTCAAAAACAATAATGTGGGAGCCTACTTAAAATTAATAATGGGCAGAAATGGTTAAACGTAACTTACAACAATTTTCGACACATTAGACTAAAAAACACAATTTATAGTTTTCTAGTTTTTTTTTTGGACAATGAGGTTATGTTAGCAGAAGCCTATTGTGTTGGCGGCACGATAGGACCAAGTGAGGAGTCGGACCATCGGAGGTCGGATTAGCGAGGTTCTACTGTACAAGGCTTGGCTTTTGTGTCAAGTTTCTTTCTGTAACATTTGGGAATATGAGCATAAGCTTTACAGCCAAAAACGCGTAAGTGACTTAGATCAACCTTTGAACCAGTCCAAACTTCCTCTGGTGTTGCATCCTTTAAAACTGCTGTAGGACTACAATTTTTCAAATAGATAGCTGTGTTTATAGCTTCTCCCCAATTGTCATTCTCCTAAACCTGAATCTTGAAGTAAACATCTTGTCTTTTCAACTAGTGTTGGGAATAATTTCCCCCAAAACTTTGAGTAATGTTCATTCCTACAATACATAACAAGCTTTGAACACTACAAGTTTTCTATTTGGCATAAAACAGATGTTTAAAGATGCTGACCTGGTATTCAGAAGATGCAGGGACTGGCTTGAGGGGAGAGGGGAGTGTGTGTGGTTGGGATGGTGACTCACTAGTGTCCAGCAGTGATGAGTTAGCGGTCATCATTGGTAACTGAATAGGCACACTACAACAAACATCAACATGGCTTACTAACTTAACCTACTGCAGAGTAAGACTCTTATAATCTTGAGGAACCTGAGACCTAAATTAGATTCCAGGAGCATGTATATAGAAAAAAGTCAAACAAAATTGTTTGTGAATTTGTAAGCCTGAACTCAAATTTTGATGGAGAAGTTTGTTTAAAACTTTATCTTGTAATAAGGTCTGTAACAACTCAGCTTCCCATAAGTATATACTATCAAAATTAGATACTAAAACAATAAACAATTAGAACATTAAACATTCATGCAATTTAGAGTAAGGTGTACTGAAAGATTAAGTATTAATATTAATAGAAGTAAAATTGACTTTATAAATTTTGGATTGTAGGAACCCTGTAAAAATGTTGACTGTGATAATAAAGTGAAATACCGCAGGTAATCTGCAGACTAAGCAAAATATCAAATCAAATAAAATCTTTATTCAAAATTAAATAACATGAGCTACAATAGATTTTGTCAAAATATAACAATGTAAATGTCTTAAACAGGGCCGCCCCGAGGGTAATAGACGCCTGGGGCAAGATTTAAATTTTCGCCCCCTCCCCAAAAAGGTTATTTGGCGGGTTTGCGTCAATAGACCTAACGTCCAATATATCGATATCGACGCCTATGAGTTGACGTAAGAGTTTGAGCTTTGAGGTTAGAAACAGGCAAGTGTGGGCGAATACGCAGTGTGTGTGCCTCAGACTCGCAGTATTGCCAACAAGATACTTGCCAGACGTAAAAGTAGTAATCGTACAATTTGTATATTAAATAACAGTATTTGTTTGATGAATGAAACGAAAGCTATATATTGTCTTTTTTTAGAATAGTCATTGTCATTGATAACATGTTTACGAGATTCCCGTAGATTATTTGTTTGCGGTTTGCCAAAAATTATTTACCTTCCAAAGCCCCCAGGGCGGCCGCCCTGCTCACCTCGCCCTCAGGGCGGTCCTGACCTTAAAGACAACTCAAAACATGACTAGGTCTACAGCATGAAAGACAATTGGTTTAAAGGTTTCCAGACAATAAAAAAATTATTTATAAATCAAAATACTTTTTAAAAATTCCACGTTTTTAAACTTCTCTCAACATTTTATAAATTATTTTATACTTTTTAGTGTGTTTAAAAACGTGGAATTTTTAAAAAGTATTTTTATTTATAAATCTAGTTTTTAGTTATCTTTAGTTATTTTTAGTTATCTAGTTTTTAGTTTTTAATGTGTAAATATGTTAAATCTATTTTATATAGCCTCTTAATACATAACCAAAACCCAAAACTTTATTATCTGTAATCAGATGTTTTATCTTTACAGTACTTTGAAATTATTGTTTTATATTTTTAGAATATCTCGGGAGCACAACCTGTACCTCTTAACCTCTGCTCTTCTAACTGTCAAATTTAAGTATTTACAGCTGACTTAAATTAATTTATATGTTTACATTCTTTTAAAATGTAAACATGGAAAATGTGGAAGCCAAAGGGGCGTAGTCCAAGGGAAATATGCAAATTAAATTATATAATATTGCACTGTCATCCATTTATGAGCTATGTTTCAAATTTCAAGTCTCTAGCTCATCGGGAAGTATCAAAATTTGCAAGAAAGCGATTTAATAAAAACAAGCCCATGGGGCGTAGCCCAAGGGAAATATGAAAATTAAATGATATAATATTGCATTGTCTTCCATTTATGAGCTATGTTTCAAGTTTCAAGTCTCTAGCTCGTCGGGAAGTTAGTATAAAATTGATTTGAAAATTTGTACTGGACAAGAAAGCGAGCTAATAAAAACGTTTTAATAAATAAATAAGTAGTTCAGACAAAAACTGCAAGATATTTGCCAGATTGGATTTTTACTTAAATATTTCCTTAATCATGCAAGATCTATTCCCTATGTAAATAAAATTAGGTTTAAAGAGTAATTAATGCTACAGAGAACTCTTATCAAGTGTCTCTCATATCTTGAAATCATGGAGGTGTCTTCCTTTTAATCAATCATCATTATGATTTTATGACGTCACCAGTTTACCCAATACCTAATGTGGATCACCCAAATAATGAGGATCATTGTTCATTCTTCAAGACCCTCCCTCCCCTGTGTGTGTCAAGAACAGGTTTTTCTGGACAAAAACTTTGTTTGCTCCCGATTGTATGTAGGCCTATGTTTATTCATTTTTCAGAAATTTAATTATTGTTATATAATGGGGTTTCTAGAAAATGAGAACAAGAACAGAGGTTTAAAACATTTGTTTGAATGAATGTTGTGAGTTTTTAATTGATTTTTATCAGAGCAAAAAAGAAAAAAAAAATATGCAGAAGGTACCTCTAAGAGCCATTTGACAGTTAGGATTCAAACGCCTGGTAGGAACGTAGAAGGTCAGCATTTCTGTCCCTAAAGTTGACTAGCTATCTTCTTACCCTAAAATACTGAAGTCACTAAAAGTCAATCTAGAGGTTAAAATACCTTTAATCCGTCAATGTGATCAAATGTTAATCAAATATTGTTTTAACCTCTAGATTAATTTAAAATTGTGATCAGGAGGCAAAAACAACAGAAATGAAGCACTAAGTCATAATCCTGGATAAAGCAGTTGGACCTGTAGATGTTTACCTAGTCTTGGTGTCAGACGTGTGAGTGGTGGAGGTTGGGGCTGGTAACTCTGTGGGGTGATAGGTGTAGAAGTCAAGAGATTGTAGCGAAGCTGTCTCCACAGAATGTAACCCAGTTGGTTGAAACTCTTCTCTGGAAACAACAACACCAAGCATAGTCGTCAACACTCAGCCAAATCATTTTACCATGACTGAGTCTTTCGTCAATTCAAAAATGACTCTTTCATCAAGAATTGTAATAGTGTCGGCAAACCGAAATATGCACAAGTGCCAGTTAATATTAACGAGTCTATTTCTAATTGATATTGTTTTCTACAACAAATGAAATGAAATGAAATGAAATGAAAAATGAATGAAATGAAAAATGAAATGAAAAATACTTTATTCCATCAAAAAACACAAACACAATTGTTACATAGCGTTGTACAGATGGATTATTCCCCACATAGGCACAGCCTGTGTGTGGGGAATGAGCTTTACCAGTAGTCAAACATACAATGATACAATTAAATAGAAAAATGATAAATAACTAAAATTATTATTTTACAAACTTTTGGAATAAGGAGAAAGATTGCACATTGAGCTAACACAAATGAAATTTTAAAAACTACTGGAACCACAAGAGGAAGTAAAGATGAAAACAAAACTACACATACGTAACAACCGCGTACGTATCAACTGAGACTCGGAAACCACACACACACACACACATACGCAGACGTACACACACAGACAGACAGCAACACACACCCAACAGACAACACACTTCAGCTCAGTTGCACCAGGACATCAGGTGGCTGCTGGCCCCACAGTTCCATTAGTTAGGCCGTCTCTGCTCTGTCCCTGCATGTCCATTCACTCGCTCCCTCTCACTCACACTCACAGTCACACGCACGCACATCCACACACAAACACCACAGCCAGACGGTCATTCATCGATATATTTGACTGTGACGGCTTTAAAAGGAATACATGGATACAAACAAGCTGTCGATATGCCCGCGTCCGATTTCCACCAACCATTTATTTACGAGTTTTTTATATTTTAGCAGACTGCACGGCTCCGGATTTTTTAGCTGAGTGGGTAATTTTGAAAAAATGACTGTTGCAATGTATTGGGGGGACGTTTTATTAATACTTTTAGTGATCTTAGGTAACTCTATCCCGGTGTTCAAAGCAAATCTTGTAGGATAGTTGTGAGAAGTTTGTTTAAAAAGAGAATTTTTGTTTTTGAAAATGTATATGATTAATGATCTTACATAAAGCTGTGCAAGATTAAAAACTTTGAACTCGTCAAAGACATATTCTGAGGGGTAGCGGCGAGGTTTTCGTAGAGCAATTTTTATAATGGCTTTTTGAATAATTTCGATAGGGGCCAAAATACTTTTATAGCCACCACCCCACGCTAGATTCCCAAATTGTAGAATAGACTGTATGTATGCATGGTAAATGTTTTTTAGAAGATCAAGAGGTAAAATTTTGGATATATTAGAAAAAACAAAAATGAATTTACGTAGTTTACATCTAATTTGATTTATGTGACTAGTCCATTTCAGCCGGCTATCAAACATCACCCCTAAATACTTAAACTCATTCACACATTCAATACTTTCACACTTGTCACATTCAATCTCGGCACCACAACTATGTAATTTTAAATCTAAATCTAAAGGATCGTAATCAGATCTTAGTGAAATCGGCATGTATTTTGTTTTTGATAAGTTTACAGTTAGCTTATTCTGGTCGAACCATCGCTTGACAGTGAGAAGGCCGCGCTCGGCGCTGCCGTACACCTCCGGCCAGCTGTCGCCCTCGAACAAGAGCGCCGTGTCGTCGGCGTACAGAAAGATCTGCCCTTTGTTTAAGTTAATTTTGCCCAGGTTATTTATGTATATTAAAAATAACAGAGGCCCCAAGGTCGAACCCTGGATAACTCCATAATCAATTCTTTTTTGCGAACTGTTTTGGTTTAAAATCGAGACAATTTGGAAACGTTCAGCGAGATAATCTTCAAACCATTTTAAAGTGACACCTCTCACCCCTATACATTTCAACTTATTAAGAAGTAATCGTCTGTCAACGGTGTCAAAGGCTTTAGCTAAATCTATAAAGACAATCAAGGGTTTTTTGTTTTTACTAATAGAATCATGCAAACTATTAGTTAAAGAAAAAAGGTCATCATTTAAATTTTTGTCCTTACGGAAACCAAACTGTTTATCAAAAAGTAATTGAAAATTTGTTAAGTAGTTTTCGAATTGTTTTCTAACACACTTTTCAATAAGTTTAGCGAGTACACTGGCCAAAGTAATTGGACGATAGTTGATAAATTGATTTTTTTCACCATTCTTAAATATAGGAACTACTTTACCAACTTTTAAAATTTTTGGAAATGTGCCCTGCGAAAAACTGGTATTAATGATATGTAAAAGTGGATATTTTAATTCTTCAAAGTTATTTTTGATAAGTTTTACCGGAATGTTATCAGCCCCAGGAGCAGACCCCCCTCTCATACCCCGAACGACAGTTGACAGCTCCGCCTCACCCACGGGCGACAGCTGGAAAGTGGTATCCGTCTGGAAATCGTCATCGTTGATTACTGGCTCCAGAACCTGAGGGACAGCACGAGCTAGGTTGGCACCTACATCTACGTAGTAGTCATTAAACGCATCAGCAATTTTTTTTATTGAGTCCTCTTCTAAAGTTTGGTTATCTGGTATAAAATGTTTTACAGGAAAATCGTCCTTTTTTTTATTAAGTCCCATAATTTCTGTCATGTTTTTCCAAAGGCGACGTTTGTTATTTAATGAGTCGGATATTTGATCCTTATAGTATTTTTCTTTTGCACTTTTGATTGCAGTATTCAAAGTGTTCCTATAGTTTATGTAATGTAATCTAAGTGCCGGGTTGAAAGGTTGTTTTTTCAACTGTTTACTGATTTTATCCCTAACACGAATAGAATTAACAAGTCCAACAGTGATCCATGGTTTTAATTTGGTTTTTTTGGCAGAAAGACTTTTATTTGAAGTAGCCGCACTTGTGATCTCCTGCAACTGTCGCACAAACTCCTCGCAGGCCACATCGACGTCCTCAGTAGCGAGTACCGAGGACCAGTCATGTGACCGCAACAATCGCTGGGCAACCTCTGAGTCGACACAAGTAAAGCTTTTGTTGGAATATCTGTTTGTTACCTTATAATGATTATAGTCAGCCGATGCAACAGTTATAAAATGGTCGGTTATTGAAGTGTGTATTATTGCTGACTTAACTGTATTTACATGTTTTATGTTGGTAAAAATGTGGTCAATGCAGGTCTTGGAATCAGCTGTAACTCGAGTTGGGCTATTAATGCATGGTGTAAAGCCTGCCGTATAAAGAACGTCAAGATATCTCTGGGACAAAATATTTTCATTGTTAGGCAGAATGCAACAATTGAGGTCACCAACCAGCCAGCACCGCATTGTGGTACAAAATTATAACTCAATAACTCGTTTATTCAACCAAAGTAACAAATACAGATTTGCATTTGTCATGTCAAACAAAATATATCTTTACCTCTAAAATTAAAATAAAACAATGGTGCTTCAATCAAACTAGATTTACGAGTGACAAGCTTCTTCAAACTTAATTAAACCCATCAGCGACACATTCACGGACACTGTAGCAACTCTTGGCCAAGAGTAATTTTTTTACTTGCCTTTTGAAGCCCGGCTCCAGCTGAAGGGAGGGAGGAAGTAGATTGAAAAGTGTAATGCCGTTGTAATGGAAGTGTCTCTTAAACAATGACGTTGAGTGAGATGGCAATTTAAGATGTGAATTGTTACGTAGTGTATATGAATTCAATTCAATTCAATATTTCTTTATTCATTAAAGCACTAAGTACATGAATAGTGTCATTCTTTTACATGTTTTTATATTACAATGTTCTTACATTCTATAGATACAAAGTTCTTAAAATCTAACATAAGTTTATACAAATCAAAAATTAACGCTCCTTCTAAAATTTTAAAGTTCATCAAGGGAATACAATACCTTGTTGATGAGAAATGTTTTAAGACCCCTCTTTATCCCACCATGCTTTTTGCTGATTTAATTTCATTTGGAATTTTGTTGTAAAATTTGGAGCCGGTATAACTTGGTTTTTTACTGTAAAGTTCTAATCTGTGGCGGTTTAAAGCAATTTTGGTTTTGTTTCTGGTATTGTAGTGGTGGTGTTCACCAGTTAACGCCTATTGAGAAACTCTGTTTTTAACTGTTTCATAGATATACAATCCATATACTATACAGTCTAACCTTGATATAACGAACCTCGATATAACGAATTCCTTGATTTAACGAATTTTTTTAAATCCCCTAGAACTCTCCCTTATGTCTTATACACAATGTATATTTTACCTCTACATAACGAACAAACCATATAAACGACCTTGATTTAATGAATTTTTCATGATCCCGGCTAAAATAAGACACCTCAATATAACGAATTTATCATTGTCAGAACCTCTACATAGCGAATTTAACCTCTACTTAACAAATTGTCTGCGTCTCTCCCTCAATACAACGAACCCCCCACCCTCATTGTTTTTGAAAAATCAGTTTCTTCATCAAATGAAATGGAAAGGTGACGTCAACGCTTGTGCTAACATTCGTCTGCTCCGTTAAGCTATGGTTCCACAGGATGCGGAATCTCCACCGTGCGGTGCGATTTTTTCCGCTGCGGAATTAAAACGACACTGGTTTAATGGAGTTCCCATGTGTGCGGTTCCACTGACTTGCGATTCCGCATCCCGAATTTTCAAGAATGTTCAAGAATTCTTCAACACCTAATTCTTAATCCGCATGGCGGAGAAATCATACTGGTCTGAGAGCAGTAGCAGTGCGGATTCCGCCAGCGGAGAAGAGCCATCAAATATTGTGTTGTGACCGTGCAGTTTCATTATGTCTTATGCTGTTGCTGTAAAAAGAATTATAGATGAACGATTATAAAGTAACATATATAATCGCAACACCGATTTTCAACAAACTAACTGTTAAAATAAATTATTATAATACATTTAACATAAACTGTCGAAAATGGTAGACCTGACGAACAATTATCCTGAGATGTTTGGGTATCAAGTGTTAAACGGGATATCG